ATATTTAAAGGGGACCTATCATGCAAAGTGCACTTTTTGATGTATTTTATACATAAATATGTGTCCCCGGTGTGTCAGGGAACTCGCAAAGTGTCAGAAAATAAAATCCTCTCTCTTTTCCTCCGTACTGAAATCTCTAAAAACGGGGGTACAACGGAGCTGATCCAGATTTGCTGCCGATATAACGTAATATCGGCAATGTGGACCCTCTGCCCTATCAGAAACAATGCGCGACGTGTTTTGGACGTAATATGGTCTTTGTTTACATTAGCGAGCATAGCTAGCACTCAGAGCTAACCTGTACTGGAGAGAGTATGTGTAAAAAAGCAGGACATTTAAAAAAGGAACTCACGTTGTGGTAAACCCGCAAGAGAAAAAGCATTTGAGCTCCATACTGTTTCAGAAATAATCACCGAATCACGGCAGCATTTAGCTGTATCTCGTAGAATTCTGAGCAGGCACAAGCTCCCCCTCCTCTTATTTTAAGGACCCAGAATCAGCCCTTCTCTAACAGGGCTGAAATAGAGGGGTGTGAGGGATGTCTAAAATGCATGATCTGTGCACATAATAGACATGTTTTTGTATATATTTGTTATATATCTGAGACCCTTTTTAATATATGCCTAAAAATAGCATAATAGGAGAACTTTAAATGAAATCCTAACTTGTGTAGAATTGTAATCTAACGTATTCTCTCCTCTCCTCCACCAGACGACGTCCCCTACAGGTCAGGGCCGCTCCGACTCGCCGGTCTACACCAACCTCCAGGAGCTGAAGATCTCTCAGTCCAGCCTGCCACCCATCCCCTCCAGCTCCCCTCTCCACATCCTGGGCGACTGGGAGACCCACAAAGACCTGAGCGGCAGGCACTTCTACTACAACCGAGGCTCCGGAGAGAGGACCTGGAAGCCCCCCCGCACCAGGGACACCAGCGGCAGCACCAGCAGCTTCAGGGGAGACAGCCAGGGCACAGCGGAGAGCGAGGTGAGGGACGACTAGGCCAATTCAAAGATTTTATTGTCAGTGTAGACATGGCAATGACATTCTTATGACCCGAGCTCCTCCAACAATGCAACATATATAATAAAATACAAATAAAAAACAAAAAATAGTGCAAGAAGTCTATATACATGTGAATAGAATATGATGTATACAAGAACAGAATGTGAAATTAAAGATTGTACATTAAGACAAAATTAAATACGGTTTATTGCGGGGAAAACTATTTAGATAAATAAGTAGATTGCAAGATGACAAACAGATTAATGTTTATGGAGGCACAGAGCTCAGGTGTTTAGCATTCTTCTTCAAGCCATTTCTGGTACATTCAATGTACAGTTTTTACAATGACTACTGTTGAAAAGCTTCTTTGTTTATTTTTATTTTTGTATTAGTCAATTTATTGAACATGTTAAAAACAAAACAAACAATAATAATAATAACAAAGATAAGCAAAATATTTAAATAATTCAAATAGTTTCCGTCATGTTCAAAAAGGGCAAGAATAGCTTTTAAAACGTTTCTGGTCTAGCATTCAATGTTCATGAAAATAAAAGATCGGGAACAAATCATTCCTTTGTACAAAACAAACAAAAACAGATAATCTTTACAGGTAAACCAAAACCGGAAATAAAAAGCATGAGTTCACAGGTCATTCTTAATGGGTAGCATTACAATATGTTCACAAACCTGTAACACAATTGCTTCTTTTAGACCCAGAGAAAACACATTAAACAGGATTCAGGTATTTAGTTTGCATGCGAGTACATAAACAGTCTGTATTTGGACTCTCTGGCGGTCATTCTTAAATAAACAGGCTGTGGTGGAAGTGTGGTTAACCACCAAAGACGTTTTAAATGGTGTGGTTGGTTACTGCTTTGATATGGGGAAGTCATGGTTTCCTGTCAGGGTGTAGCTTTCTGACAAGCTATCCAACAACGCCCCCCTGTGGTGGTTTGGTTTATTGCAGCATTATTTGTATATGGTTATTAGAAGTCAATCAACAGGATATTTATCGATTGGGCTGCCGTACAGCTCACCTGGTAGAGGTGTACTCATGTATTGGGACGCGCAGAGGACCCAGGTTCGAATCCGGCCTGGATCCATGTACGCATGTTATCCCCTCTATCTTCCCCTTTCAACACTTTCACTCTCAAATAAAGGCTAATCTAGCCCAAAATATCTAGAAATTAAATAATCCTATTTTAAAAAAAAAAAAAAAAAAAATTGAGAATCTTTCTCTGTTTTTATAAGATATACTGAATATGTTTTTATTTAAAAATGTTTTAGACCAACTGATTTAAACAATGTATCAAATATAAATGCTATCAGTATTCAATGGCAAGAGTCATTAGTACAACTTTCTGAACAACCAATATAGATGCAGCTTTGTGTTAGGTAGTAAAGTAGTAAAGTGTTTTTACGGGAATAGTTATATATTTTTTGAAAATACTATTATAATACTTCTATTTATTTTCATTTGAGGAGAGGGTAATTTAGGATTGATTTCTCACCTTTGTCTTAAGAGTAACATAAATATGAAGCTAAAGCTAGGTTAGCTTAGCCTAGCGTTGCGAGACTGGAAACAGGAAGAAAAAGCTAACCTGGCTATGTCCAAAGGTACAATTACCTGCCTTCCAGGACCTGCTAATCATGTTGTATGTTTTAATACCACAGAAACTGAAGGTTAATGACACAATTTCACAGATATACAGTCTAACTGTTTCCAGTTTTTGTTGGTATGTTAAACTAAGCTAACAAGCTGCTTCCCATTGGTAGCTAATACATGTAGTGTTGACATTCAATAACACCTGTATAATGAAGCCCCCCGTCTCTTTGTGTGTCCTCCACAGCCGCTGTCCTCAGAGGAAAACTGTCACAGCACCCACTCCAGTCAGTCTGACAGCCAGTACGGGTCCCCCCCCAGAGGCTGGTCTGAGGAGCTGGATGAGCATGGACACACTCTCTACATCTCTGAACACACACAGGAGAAGGTTATAACTGATTATGTCATTGCTTACTTTCTGCATGCTATGTTAGATCCATACCTGCAAACCATACACATCAAATATGATTTTCTTGGTTGCTGACAGTTCTTTCGTGTTTTCAGTGGATAAAACATGTGGATGAACAAGGCCGGCCCTACTACTACAGCGCTGATGGATCCAGGTCAGAATGGGAACTGCCCAAGGTAACATTAGATTACATACATTATACCTTATTGAAAGTAATCTCTTTTTCTTGAAAATTGTAAATCACTACCCAGTAACACTCCCCCTGGCGATCCTTGTAAACACTGGTCCTGTGGGTGTAAGTGGATGAGCTCACGCAGGAGCCAAGTTTGAGTTGAATTCCGGGTGACGGACTATTATTGGCTCTTTACCGGCTAATCTGTAAGGGCTGATCCAAACAGAGCAGTCCATTCTCACTGTGGACATGACAGTGGACTGTTGACGACAATCGGGCTGTAAAGTCCCTTTGTCCAATGGTGCTGTGGACAGTGAAAGGAGAGGTAGGGGGGCGCAGGGATACTGAAGGCTGTGTTGGAACAATGGATGTCCTAAGCTTAAGATCTCTCCTGTGTCTGCAGTACAACATGTCCCCTCTGTCCGGGGAGGTTCCCAAGAGTCGCAGTCTGGAGAGGAAGCAGCAGGACCCCATCGTCCTCACCAAGTGGAGACACAGCACCTACGTCTTAGACCTCAACGACAAGGTAAGATTGTGAAAACTAATGAGGTTACAAAGACAGTGTGGTGTGGAAAAGGCTCTCTTGTTGCTGCTGGTTCTCTGGCAGCCAATATGCCTGCTCGTTCCATTACCTGTGTTATTGGCAGTGAGCTAATCCCCGAGTGCTAATGACGCCTTCAGCTCAACAGAGGAGCAGGTTTACAATGAATTAATCTTTTTATTTTGGAACCTTGACAAATGATGGTGTACAGTATGTAAAATAATAATAAAAAAATGTCTACTTATATGCGTGTCAAACAACTGTTGTGAAAGACAACTAACTTTCACAGAGCAATTGTTAAAGCTGACTTAATAACTTAAAAGAGTGCTATAGTGATTTATTGTCAAACTCCTATTGAGCAGAGATAAATTATTTAAATTAAAGCAACGGAGATAATAATATCCTTAATTGGGGTCAAGCTTTAGAAACACTGGATACTACATTTCCCATCACATGTTTTTACTTAACTGCCTGATAGGGCCAGGCAAATGTCGAGGAGGAAAACAACTCATGTTTATACAAACCAGTTTATTGAACTGTATAGCACACTATTTCAAATATGAAACAATAGTTGACATTCCACACATATTTAATATATTTTAAAAAAGAACTAAAACATACTGGAATCATTTTACAAGTCAAAAAATTATAATAATACAAAATATATTAACATATTTGAAATTCTTGACCCTGTTAGCAACTAGATAACTTTTCTTTCAAGACACTCATGTGAGGAAATTCACCATTATCAAGATTATGGAAATTCACCTGGAGTAAATTATTTATTTGTTTATCCTTAAAATTCTATATTGTACCATCCCTCCCCTGTCTGCTTAAAACAATTTCACTTTCTTCAGAGTACAGGTTAATAATCCTTTTGAAATACATTTCAAGTTGAATTCAGACAAAAGGTTTTTAAGAGTGAGAAGAATACATTGGAGTTTCACGCTGTGGCGGTTTCCTTGCAGTTCTCTTTCAAACTGTGGCAGTTTTCATCCGACAAGAGGAGATTTCGCCTCTCTCTTTACCGTGACAAAGTTTGTACCGCGCAGAGCCTCCTCCCCCCCTGGCCCCCTCTCTAATCAACAGATGATTGACTCACTGCCAGTGTGTTAAATAGCTGTCGTGTCACCCAATCAAAGAATCATTATTACCTTAGATTTGAACAGGAAGGAAAGCGGCATCTTGGAATGAACCTCTAAATTAACTTCCATCAGAAGCATGTTGTTTGTAACCTTTTTCTAACTCTTCCTCCCTTCCTTATCTTTTGATGACCTAATCTAACATCCACCACACTCTTGTGATTCCTCTCCAGGTTCCTGCTTCCTTTTCTTCCCCTCACTTTCCTCAGACCTGTAGTTAGCCGGTAGCTATTAGCGACTCATCATGTTTATCTTGTTGGTAGGAGTGTGCTCCGGCGCCCAAGCAGAGCCCCCCAGACTCTGACTCCTGCCCCTCATCTCCTAAGCATCCCTCGACCGTTAGTATCCCAGCTTGCATTGCATCACACCACACTTATTACCGTCCTTCTTTCACCTGCATCCAAATACGTCCTCATCTTCTAAAACCTCCAGACATTTTGATTTCTCATCTGCTGCACGCCACATTGGATAACTGCATCACATCTAACAAAAAATGAAACCAGCTATGATAGCACTTAGCTGCAGTGTCACGGCGCCCTCTGCTGGTGATATTTGGGCATAGCATCAAGCAGCAAAGCCACTTCCAACCTCCAACATAGTCCCATTTGCTTCTCAAGCTTCAGCGTGTGTGTTTGGAGATGTACGTGTTTTTGTTTATTTCATACATGTGTCCTAGCAGGTTCTTATATGCGTCTTTGTCTCCTCAGCCCTCGGAGAAATGCGGAGTTCTCAATGTCACCAAAATCACGGAGAATGGAAAGAAAGTCAGGTAGGAATCTGAAAAAAACAGCAGCGATAATATGTTACATAGTTTATCTGTTAATTGTGGCTGTTTGTTCACACTTGAATGAAACAAGCCGTCTTGACTTCCTCTACAGTGGACATACTGTAACATTTAAACATTCAATTAAAGAAAAAATGAAAAGTCTAAATTGCAAGATGTATTTTAACCCTAAATCACCCAAAAATGAACATTGGAAGACACATTTTTTCTCAGTTCCCAGGAGGATATAATGTTAACCAGACAATATTTTCTTCCTTAGATTTACACCATATTTTAGCGTCTTCTAGCTCTTTTGTGTATTTTTCGTGCCTTTACTGTTTTAATGTAGTCTTTTCTTAGCATTGTCTCCAGCAGCAGAAGGCAGTTTTTTTTTTTAACCCACTGCTTAACTTTAAAAAAAATCCTCTGACATCTGCAACCCTAAATGTTTTTGTTTTGAATGACAGGAAGAACTGGACCTCCTCGTGGACAGTGCTGCAGGGGTACTCTCTCCTCTTTGCAAAGGGTCAGGGGGGCAGCACCAGCTGGGTACGTGTTTATCAGCCTCTTAGTATTTTCAGCATTTGTACCATCTTCGTGTTACTCCTCTCTTCCTCATTTCGGCATATTCACCTGTCCTCATGCCACCTGTGCTGTGAAATGTCATCCTCTGTTCCTCTCCTCTCCTTCCTGAAGTCTTACTACCGCAGCGGCTCCATCCCTGAGCTGCTCCTCACTCTCCTTAGCAACTGGAAGCGCTCAGTGAAGCCCCGCCCTGCTGTCTCCTATGTGAACTGTAGGCCTGTGCAGGCTGCCGCTGTATGTCCCCTCTCTCTGCACGTGTCTCTGCTCCTGCCTGTCCTTCATTCTTTACTCACTCCTAATTCACCTGACCGTGTGTGTTTAATGTTTGTAAGAAAAGTTGCAATACCCAAGCAACATTTGTATACTAACAATGACTCTATAGACCCAGCCCATTGACCAATGTCCTCTGTAGTGGACATGTTGTCCAGGTAAATGTATTCTTGTATTAATATCACTCTATTAGCATATGTTACAACATTTATCTGTTAATTGTGGCTGTCTTTTCACACTTAAACGGTCTTGACGTCCTCTACAGTGGACATAATGTAAAATAAATGTTGTTTTTTTTTAACCCTAAATCACAAATAAAATAAAATTGGAAGACACTTTTGTTCCTCTGGGAGGAGGGTATAATGTTAACTATCTTATTCCTTAGATTTACAACATATTTTAGCGTCTTTAAGCTGTTTGGTTTATTTTTAGTGCCTATAACTTCACTGTTTTAATTTAGTATTTTCTTAGCATTGTTTCCAGCAGCAGAAGGCAGTTATTTGTTTTCTTTAAACGCTGATAAACCCACAATTTGCAACCTGCTCAGCAACAGCAGAAAGAAAACATGTGTTACTAGCTAGTACATTTAGCTTATTGGAGCTAAAGCAATGCTAAAGAGCCTTCAGTTAGTGGTAGAGACCGAAATATATATAAATCAAACACAAAAAAAAGACAGATGAGGTGCAGAGCCATTACTCAAAACTTCTTGCAAGAAACATGACGGAGAGGAAGTGTATTTCGGAAGTTATATCTGTCAGTCAGTAATCAAATGTCAGACTGTTACCACCAACTCTCTGAAAGCTAATTTGGCCAAAGAATTGTCCATTTCTCCTCCAAATATATGAATATCACCTCATTCTTTTTTTGTCCAAAAGGCACAGGAGCACAGAAGAAGTAGTTTGGTTTCGTATTATATGTGCAGGTTTAACAGTAAGACCGTAACTATTTAATCGAAGTTATAAAAATGACAAAATTCATAATGTTCTGTGTGCCACTAAAACCATGTATTACACTCTGTAAGATTAAACTTTTTGAAAAAGGGAAAATGACAGGAGCTTGAAAGTAACTTTACGAAAGTAAATGGCTTGAACTTTATGTATTATTAATACTCACATTATATCAATAACAGCAACTAACGTTTTGTTTTACTTTTCTTGTAACACATCACTGAGATTTACTGTGCTCGAGAATGTGATGTGTGCTTTTAAAATCACTGAATATGTCAGGAAGAAGTCAACATCTCAATAACTTCCTTAAAGGTCCCCTATTATTCTCTTTTTCATTAATATGTTTTATTTCTCAGTTATATACAAAACATGTCTCTGAAGTGTTTGGCTCAAAATACCAAACAGATCATGCATTGTAGCATCCCATAAACCCCTCTGTTTCAGCCCTGTTTCAAAACTGCTGATTCTGTGTCTGTAGCTTTAAATGCTAATAAGCTGCTGCTAGCCACGCCCCCTATGTGATTGGTTAATAAAAACTAATTGGTGCTTTAGGAGGAGATTCAGGCGAAAAGTGGGCGGGGGTTACCTTGGTTGGTTATTGGCTAATGGTTACACAACCCAAACAAACATTATGACATCACAAAGTGGCTGATCAGCTAATTTTCAGACAGGTTTTTATATTAATGGATCAGGACAAAAAGAGAGTATCTTTTTTCCTGAAACTTTCAGAATCTCTTTACACAGAGGGGACACATGTTTATGTATAAAATACATAAAATAGTGGATTTTGCATAATAGGTGACCTTTAAACAACAACGTGTCCCTCTTGTATCTTCTTTGCGTCAGACATGGACTGTAATTCTGTTTCATTGATTCCAGAAGTTTGGGGGCAACCAGTCCAAGCCGGAGTTCACTGTGGATCTGCGGGGGGGGTCGGTGGACTGGGCCTCTAAGGACAAGTCGAGCAAGAAACACGTCATCGAGGTACTGAACACAGCCCACCTGCCGTTGAATTTTACTCTAGATTTACCTGCAATTTGGGTTTTAATGTGGTCAAATGTTGACTTGCCCTCCCTCAGCTGAAGACTAGACAAGGAACAGAGCTGCTGATCCAGTCAGAGATCGACAGCGTAATCAACGACTGGTACCGGGCCCTCACAGAGACCATCAACACACACGTGAGGACACATATTCTAATAACAAGGTCATGTCGGACGTTTTTCAATCCATCTACAATCTATCTTCGGTCCTTGGTTGTAGCAAATCATCCTTGAAAGTACATTTTAGATTTGAATTTCAAATGTATTTCTTTCTTTCTATTTATTCATTTATTTAACATGGACCGTGCACATTAATCAACATGTCTGTAAATGTGCCAGAGTAGTAGTCCCTGGACAGATTTTGTAAGTCACCCTAAAGACACATTTCATTCAAAACAAGTAAATACCATCAAATAAAGACATGCAACATACAGTACTGGATATCTTAATAAAAACCCAAAAGGGAACAATAAAACCAAACAAAAAAGAACATGTTAAAACACAGGCAGTGTAGACAGACACTTGGTTGTAAGGTGCAGAAGATTGTGTCAGTGATGGCAGAGCTGATTCCTCAATAACCATGTTTTGAGTTGTGATTTAAATAAACTAATGTATTTAGATTGTGTGTGTCTCCTCACGTTCAGGCCTGGGAGTCGGATGAGGCTATTGAGGAGGACATGCCTGAGTCCCCAGGAGCTGAGAAGCAGGACAAGGAGAAGGACCACCGGGACTCCAAGAAGAACAGAGGTAAGACAGAAGGAGAATGTCCCTACAACATACTCTAAATGTCTGGACGAAATGTGTTTATATCCTGCCTCCTGCCTTCCTCAGTGATGAAGACCTCTGTGAGTATGGACTCATCAGACCAGAAGAAAACCAGGTTGAAGCTCAAGAAGTTCCTGACGCGTCGACCCACATATCAGGCTGTACGAGACAAGGGATACATCAAAGGTATTTAGGAACAGGCAGCGGTGATACTGTTGATCATGTCCCGTATGGATATCTGCCACTGTTTGAATACAAACCAATAACTGTGTGTTTTCTGAATCTCAGACCAGGTGTTTGGCTGCAGTCTGACCAGTCTGTGCCAGAGGGAGAACACATCGGTACCCAACTTTGTCACCATGTGCATCGACCATGTGGAGAACACAGGTATGAGCAACACCCACGCTAGATAAGATAAGATGACACTTTATTCATCCCCTTGGGGAAATTCAGGCGTTTATAGCAGCAACAGGGTCAGAGTGAACAACAGGACTCACACAAGGTACAAATGTAGATCAAATAGAATACAAATTCTAATAATAATAAAGTAACCATTGAAACAAGATATCACAGTAAAATGTTGTTATGTTAAATATATTTAGATAAGTGTGCAATAGCACTGAAAACTATGTGGAGAATATGGGATGTTGGAGATAACAACAATATTATTTGCTACAAAAACCAGATATAAAAGTGTCTTTCATTTAACTGAATGAATGTTAAACACAGAAGGCACCAATAGAAAATAAAGTGGTGGTTACATTTAAAGTGCAGTTTTCTACTAATATTGTTTTCTAATGAACTGCCTGAGTCTTTTAGGATGTGTTTATCACGCAAGATAAAAACAAAACAATATATTTAATAGCCCACTTACTTAAATGTGAAAACAGTGAGTTTAAATAGACGGCTTAGTTTTATTTGTCCAGACTTAACAGTTGTTTGTTGACTTGAGCTCCAGCTCCTTCTTAGAGGAAGTCATTTAGAAAACAATTTGCTGCTTTGATTTGTTTAATGCTAGCATTTACACAAACAGCTCTGTGACAATACGGTGCTTTTGACTGAATAAGTAAGGAGGTTCAGTCTGTTTCCGGTTGTTCAATTCAGTATAAATCTAGACCCTGATTTTGAGGAATACATGTTCTTTCAGTGAGCTTTGAACCAGTAGATAACACACTTTGTGACAACGCTGAATCAACAATGCCTCTTGTGGTCACTCATAAGGGGAGCTTCAGATCTATCATTCTTTCATTGACACTGAACAATGAGTACAACCACGTTTCATCTTAAGGAAACCTATTCATGTTCTAAACACCTCTACATTATCTTACACTGACCACAGATGATTAATTTTCAGTTAGATTCATACAAGTCTGCATCAGAAACAGAACTATTAATGATGATACACCTTTTTAATCAGTTAAGATCAAATCATTTGTAGCTTAATGTCCAAATACAAGGTGTTCCTGTCATCCAGCATCGGAGACATCTCTCTTTCTGCTGTTTTTCTGCCGTCAGCAAACACATACAGCCTTATACTAAATCAAAGTGGAGCCTCCATCCAATACTATTACAGTGGGTGTCACAGCTGATTATCTGACATTATGCCATGACTATTTACAGAATAAAAGCAAGACACAGATTCTGAACATCTGTACATATCATTGGTCAGCTGTAGTCTTTACTTAACAGGGGTCATGAAGTGAGGGCAGGAAACGCTAAATGTTCAATCAGTTCTCGTCATTTACGCTCACTGCCATTGTCCCTATCCCCCTCTCCTCTCCCTCCTCCTGCAGGTCTCGGTGTTGACGGCTTATACAGAGTGAGCGGGAACCTGGCAGTGATCCAGAAGCTGCGCTTTGCTGTGAATCATGGTAGGACACCCCTCTGCCCCTGTCTGATAGCTGACCACAGGCATGCCTAAAACACTACCTAAATGGCCATCTTTTTCTGCACGCAGACTTTCCCATTGGTTGCGTTTTATATATAAATCTCTCCTTGAGAACAGAACTAGGTATAAAAAGCTTTTAAATATGCTGCCCCTTCTGCCTGGACTAATGTACAGACGTGAAACTGTCAGATTGTATCACTATGGGGGAGTTCAAGTTCATCTTAAAGGACAGAGAACAAGAATCCATTGGTCGATGTGATTGCTCTTGTATCCCCTAATTGAAGTCGTTTTAAAATTGTGCCAGTTTTTAATGTTTTATAACGGTTTATTTTATTTGCATATTGACTGGTTAATGTGACTTTACGACAGCTGTATTCGTCTGCCTGTATTGTTTTGTGTTCTTTTGTTCTAACTTTGTTCATGCTGCCCTCTTGGCCAGGTCGCGATTTTAATCTCAATGAGACTTTTACCTGTTTAAATAAAGGATATATATATACAGTGGGGGAAAAAAGTATTTAGTCAGCCACCAATTGTGCAAGTTCTCCCACTTAAAAAAATGAGAGAGGCCTGTAATTTTCATCCTAGGTATACCTCAACTATGAGAGACAAAATGAGAAAAAAAATTCCAGAAAATCACATTGTCTGATTTTTAAAGAATGAATTGGTAAATTCCTCGGTAAAATAAGTATTTGGTCACCTACAAACAAACAAGATTTCTGGCTCTCACAGACCTGTAACTTCTTCTTTAAGAGCCTCCTCTGTCCTCCACTTGTTAACTGTATTAATGGCACCTGTTTGAACTCGTTATCAGTATAAAAGACACCTGTCCACAACCTCAAACAGTCACACTCCAAACTCCACTATGGCCAAGACCAAAGAGATGTCAACACCAGAAACAAAATGGTAGACCTGCGCCAGGCTGGGAAGACTGAATCTGCAATAGGTAAGCAGCTTGGTGTGAAGAAATCAACTGTGGGAGCAATTATAAGAAAATGGAAGACATACAAGACCACTGATAATCTCCCTCGATCTGGGGCTCCACGCAAGACCTCACCACGTGGGGTCAAAATGAGAAACAAGAACGGTGAGCAAAAATCCCAGAACCACACGGGGGGACCTAGTCAATGACCTGCAGAGAGCTGGGACCAAAGTAACAAAGGCTACCATCAGTAACACACTACGCCGCCAGGGACTCAAATCCTGCAGTGCCAGACGTGTCCCCCTGCTTAAGCCAGTACATGTCCAGGCCCGTCTGAAGTTTGCTAGAGAGCATTTAGATGATCCAGAAGAGGATTGGGAGAATGTCATATGGTCAGATGAAACCAAAATAGAACTTTTTGGTAAAAACTCAACTAGACGTGTTTGGAGGAGAAAGAATGCTGAGTTGCATCCAAAGAACACCATACCTACTGTGAAACATGGGGGTGGAAACATCATGCTTTGGGGCTGTTTTTCTGCAAAGGGACCAGGACCACTGATCCGTGTAAAGGAAAGAATGAATGGGGCCATGTATCGTGAGATTTTGAGTGACAACCTCCTTCCATCAGCAAGGGCATTGAAGATGAAACGTGGCTGGGTCTTTCAGCATGACAATGATCCCAAACACACCGCCCGGGCAACGAAGGAGTGGCTTCGTAAGAAGCATTTCAAGGTCCTGGAGTGGCTTAGCCAGTCTCCAGAACTCAACCCCATAGAAAATCTTTGGAGGGAGTTGAAAGTCCGGGTTGCCCAGCGACAGCCCCAAAACATCACTGCTCTAGAAGAGATCTGCATGGAGGAATGGGCCAAAATACCAGCAACAGTGTGTAAAACCTTGTGAAGACTTACAGAAAACGTTTGACCTCTGTCATTGCCAACAAAGGGTATATAACAAAGTATTAAGATGAACTTTTGTTATTGACCAAATACTTATTTTTCACCATAATTTGCAAATAAATTATTTAAAAATCAGACAATGTGATTTTCTGGATTTTTTCTTTTCTCATTTTTGTCTCTCATAGTCGAGGTATACCTAGGATGAAAATGACAGGCCTCTCTCATCTTTTTAAGTGGGAGAACTTGCACAATTGCTGGCTGACTAAATACTTTTTTGCCCCACTGTGTATACAGTCTCCTTGTACAGATGTGCTTATAAATGAGATCTTCCTTTAGTAAAAACCTATTTCTCTCCTCTTATCTTGTGTGTCTCCCCTTCCTCCATCAGATGAGACATTGGATCTGAATGACAGTAAGTGGGAGGACATCCACGTCTGCACCGGAGCTCTGAAGATGTTCTTCAGGGAGCTTCCCGAGCCGCTCTTCACGTACGGGTCCTTCGAAGACTTTGTGGAGGCCATCAGTGAGTGAACTCATTCCTTGTGTCTGTTCAGATTCCCTGTGACAAGGCGTTTAGAAGAAGAATGTTGTCCCTAGTTTGCCCACAAGATGGCACTCTGCTCCCATGCATGACTGACTGACTGACTCTGTTTCCCTGCTTCAGAATCCTCTGACTACAACCAGCGAGTGAACTCAATCAAAGACTTGATAAATAAGTTGCCAAAACCCAACCACGATACAATGCAAGGCCTCTTCGAACACCTGCGGAGGTAAGAACAGTCACTCACACTGCTATTCAAATCCCTATGTGTTATTATATCTATCCAGTATCTACATATCAAAAATATGATTACATGTGTTCTTTGAAACTAAAAAAGAGATGAGAACCCATTGCTGACTAATATAAAATGTATAAAGTGTAGTCTTACATTTTTTATTACACTTAGTGTTGTTTACAGACCGAAATGTGAATACAACATTGATTTAAAAAAATGTTTTAATGGCAGTTGAATACGAATAAGTCTTTCATAGATCACGACTACTTGATTTATATATATTTATGAATTATGTTTATATAGATTTATATATTTATTCCTAAAGGCACATATATCCTGAAATAAATCAGGTACCTTTTCATTGGTTTTTATTGGCTTGTTGTAACTGCTATTTGCATTGATATGGATTTTTTTTTTTTAAATCCGTATAAACACTGCAGTATATTTTACATGCTGTATACTTATTATTTTAAAATGTACAAAGGACATCACACCATGTTATTATATAACATAGATCAGTCAAAATGACTTATCACTAAACAAGACCGGGAAACCAAGCTACCCCCATGCAAATAAAATCAGTACAAAACAATAAAATGACTGCCTTCAGGATGCTTGTTTCACCTCCAGTCCCTTTTTGTAGTTTTACATCACTGTATGAAACCTCTGAATGAGAATCAGAATTCACAACTGAAGAAGAGCTCCTGATATTAAAGGACTCTGTGTTACTGACCGTACACTCATCCCATGCACTCGGATCTTAAATGTCCCTGAGTTCTGTTTGACTCTCCGTGTTTACCTTTCCTCAGACTTATCAGCCTGTGGGCAAACACAAACTACAGCCAGGTTTTAGCGTGTATTCTCAGCCCACTGGAGCCGGTGGCAATATCATATGTTCACAATGACATTTGCCTAGGTTTCCAATTTGCATTTATATAGCGCTGTGTTTGCTGTAATTCAGTACCTATGAAGTGGTGTTTCTTCAGGAAATTTATAGCGTGACATTCAGTGTATGGAGGTCTACGTGTATCAGCGGGCGGATTTAATCTTCTTTTTTTTCTTCCTTCCATGAATATGTTATTGTTTTGTGCATCTGCATGCATGGATGTAGATTCTATTTAAAAAGGCTATTATGCTCTACCCTGGAGCGGAGTGTTACAGGGTGTGTGTGTGTGTGTAGCCGCTCAATCTCAGGCCCTCAAGATGTGTGTAAGAATCATAATGTTGTTTTTCTTGATGCAACCCTGAAGCTGCATTGAATTGACAAACAAATATAAGCTCACCTAAAGCCATTTATGACACATTGCCATCTTTAAATCTCCCCATGTCCTACTTACCTCCCCCCCCAGGGTAATTGATCACGGGGAGGCCAACCGCATGACCACCCAGAGCGTGGCCATCGTGTTCGGACCCACGCTGCTCCGGCCCGAGACCGAGACGGGCAACATCGCGGTCCACATGGTGTACCAGAACCAGATAGTGGAGCTCATACTGCTCGAGTACGAAAGCATCTTCGGCAGGTAGAGGCACTCAGAATACGTGCCGGACTTTCAAATCATGGACTTCTTTTTCCTTCCCCCCCTTTTTTCTTTGACTGAACTGAACATTGCTGTGGACCAAGCAGTTGGGAGAGAGAAAAAATGACCTCCATTGACAGGACAGTTTTTCAAAAGTGTTGCACTTACAGAAGTTTTGGAGATGAATAAAATAATAAAAGGTGTACAGATTTCACCTGCTTCTTCGCAGGCCGGACAATGGACAGTGTTTGGAAGTGATGACGTCCGTGTCCTTTTGGTGGATTTGAGTATTCAGGTGTTTTCGCATACACTGGATCCCTGTGGCCAGTATTTCAAACGGGGGGGGGGAACCCTTCGCCTCCTGGTGGAGCCGACCAGACTTTGGCCCACCGCGGGGGTGCGTGGCATTATTAGCCAAACCTCATCACCTCGGAACGAGCTGAATCTGAACTGGATAGGTTGTTTGTTTTGTCTGTGTCGTGGAGCTTCGTCTGTGATGTACAAACCATGTGTGGTTTTGGATCAGGTGGTAAAAAAAATAATCAGTGTTATGTTAACGAACTGTCTTTTTTGGCACTTGGATGAACTGGAGTTACAGATCGTGTCCCCAACTTACCTTAATGAGACCGTCACGCCCTGTCCCTCACCCCACCTCCTCCCCACACGTTCCCTCACCCACCTCCTCCCCCCCCCTTTTCAGCCAGTGTAAACCATTAACCCTGTGACTTGCGCGTCCTGTGACTTGAATGAATGAGGACAAACCCTCCGTCTGTGTGTGAGAGTGAGTGAATTAACCTATATGGAATAAAACCTGAGCAGAAGCATCCTCGCCTTGCCACTTTGTACAAACTGTGTGTCGTGTAGTCTTACGTGCTTTGGTAAAGTTTCCGTTAAGCTGCCGGCGGTCATCGTCTGTGCTCCTTTTGTCCTGGTGTTACTGGAAAAAAGTGGATTTCTGGGGGGAATGCAATGTTACCAATTTGTTCATGAATTGTCTCTAACATTCGGCTTGATGACCCTTCTCTTCGCCTAAGCTAATATTAAAGAGTATTCAGAGAAGGGAAAAGGTACTGAGAATAAGTCTAAGCTTGATGTATGGAAGCGTGTGGGTGTTCAAATGAAAAGAAGAGCCTTTAAAAAAAAAACTTGCAGAGCATATGTACAGCGACAGAAGCTAGTTGTTTAAAATGTGTTATAGTGACTGAGGTATGTATGCTTTGATGGTGAACTAGTGAAAGATTTTGATTTTGTAAATTTGAATTAAAAAAATATGACTATACACAGATTGTGAAAAAACAAATACATGATCGACTGTTATTTTTGTTTGAAGGTGTACCTGGAGTGTTTTGCGCATGGTCAGCTGCACATTTTGAATGTAATTTCCAGGCTAACTGCTGTTTGTGAAACTGCTATGTCTAATAAAAAGACAAACTAAATGTTCAGACTGTGTATTCTCTGTCTGGATGTGGAGGTAAATGTTTCCAGGGGATGAGGACGATAAAGGAAAGAGGTGAGTCTGCTGTTTAACCTTCAATCAACTTAAGCTTCACCTTTCCCTCCGCTTTAATTACTGAATTGGATTAATCTACTCAACACCGATATCCTGGTTATTGAATTGAGTGATTAAGCTTTCACGTCTCAATCAATTATACTCCTACCTGTTAATTATGAAATGAACTGCAGTATATTTCTGGATATATTTTCAAATGCAGCACAACCTTTGCGGCTCGGCTTCCATTAATGTGATTTCGCCATTCTTTGAAGGCATTTTTGTCATTACTCCTCAGGTCAAACGTGGCTGCAGACCTGAAGGGTGTGGATTAATTGATGTCTAATTAGGTAATTGCCACGGTGCCAGTTTTGATTAAGAAGCACAAGGCGGAGCAAGTGCTGCTGAGCAAAGCTGCTTGCTGCAGGCAGCACTGAGTGAAAGCCTCTGTTTAGCTTACCTTTTATTTTCACTGCAGGTTGTGTTTGTGTTGCGATATCTGATTAGAATCTGCTAAATGACAGATCTGTATGGAAGCCCATTTCTGGCCAACAATAAATATTTAGGATAGATGGCTTGTATTATGTTAATGTTAGTCATGTCTGTCTGTCTTTTTAAACATTAGGACAAACGTAGTCATTACTATGAGAAAGTGAGTCAACATTTAAGTTTTGAAGTCAAAATGATAAGACAACATTTTTATTTTCAAGCCTTGATTGTCGTTTGTCAGAATAATAACAAATTATGTTTAACTTATTCTCTCATAAGTGTTTTAACTTATTCTCTCATAATTGGGACAAACATTATTTTTCTTGTAATTTTCTTGTCATTACTTAATATTTTAAAGCCTTAAAGGTGGGGTAGGTAATTTTGGAGAAACCAGCTCGAGTGCGCTAGAATTTGAAACGACACAACCGGAACAAATCTGCCACTTCCTTACAGAGCCCCTCCTCCTCCAACACACACGAACGCGCACATGACCAATGAGGGTACGAGATAAGTTTGTGCACAGATGGAAGGCTGACAGGCAGGTAGGCCATCCAGTTATTTTGGCCGGGCCGGCTAAAATGATTGGTCGTGCTTTTTACAGTACTACGGCTTCCACAGATGACATTTTTGTATGTATTTTTTGTCAAAGCACTTCAGATATTCATTGCTATCGGGATGTTAAGAGAACTCCATGGAATATAACAAAAAGTGTATCTCGAGCCGGTTTCTCAAACTTACCTACCCCACCTTTAATAATCGATTAAATCAACAGTGGAGGATGGCACAACACAGGACTTTATGGTTTACTTTTGTCATTCCAATGGTGCGTTAAAACCGGATGCGAAGATTCCAATCACACTAATTGCTTGAGCTGACTGCTGCTGTCAGTCGTACTCACGTCATTCAACATGTGCTGTCGAGGAGGCGGGGCTTATCTCCATGTAAATACTATGGTAGATGCCAACTACAAGAAAATAACCATATATTTACTGTGATTTAATTGTTAAACACGTTTCAAAAACGATGCCGATATAACTACATACTGATACCAGTTAGTAAAAAACATGAATTAATGCTTTGACAAGTCTGCTTACAAGACGGCAGGCGAAACACTTAAAATGTGTGTTTTCTGAATGTAGATCTAATTGATCAGGCTAAGCTAACATGTACATGCTCCTTCTACACTCACAACAACGTCATACAGACGTAAATAAAGCAGCAACTGTATTCGCCATGCCAGAAACTGTCTTTGGTTTGTATTTATATATGTTCTAAAATTTGCTAACAGCAAACGGCTGATGTTTTGGTTTTCTGAATGCATCATGTAAACTAAACTAAACTACCGGTCTTTCCGCGTCTTTGCATTGACTTTACATTTAATTGTGACGCGCCCAAAAGTTGCATCATGTCCAGTGTGAACGCACCATTACACCTAAAAGGGAAGATTTTTACTAAGTATATTAACTTCCCTCAAGTATTTTGCTTTTGTGCTAACTTATTTTTCAACTTTTTACTTCCCCCTTTTTGGCAATAAAGGGCTTCCGCAGATTCTCTGAGGACCCATACATTTTCATCCAATCCCCATTTGTTTCATGCGTGTTTACCACCAGATGTGCCCTCATACTTGCACTGATCCCAACCATTCCTCTTTGAAGTAAAATGTACCCCCCTCATGTCTCTTGCCTACGTGTTATTTATAGCAACAGGTTTGACTTATACCTCAGCTGTGGCTCTGTTTTGACAGGACGGACCACCTTGGATTCAACGTGTCGGAGGTAGGCAGCACTGAATCATGTACCCCGTTAGAAACCACAGGCAGTTAAAACTGAGACCTGGAGAGGAGTGCCCCCAGTATTTCCAAATGAGAAAACAATTAGATCATTTCTATAATTCATGGGTGCGACCACAGTGCAGGCCCAGGGAGGCTCTGAGTGTTTGAAGTGCTCCATATGCTCATGGTGGTTTCCAGGCCTGCTCAGTGGAGGCTGAGGTGTGGGCAGGTAATGTGAACAAGCCATTATGGAGCATAAAACATTTATAGGTCTTCAGTGCTTCCCCCTGCTTCATTTGCAGGTGGGCTGTCGGTAGAGTGGCTGTATGAGGAACAAAATGCTAGGGAGGTTTTGCCACTATGTGAGACAGACCGCTGTACTTTACCCAACCATGTTTACTCATAGCTCAATGAGCAAATGGCTGCTTATCCGGGGGAAGTAGCGGTTTAGGAAAAAACAATTCAAAAAAGTTTTTTAGAAGACTCTTTAGCAGTTAGCATTTTAAGATTTCGATCACACGAAAGTTGTTTTACAACTCGGCAATTTACACACCCCAAAAATGACCCTCCTTATCTGGCCCTTTAGATAGGCCTACTACTTGGTACATTATGTTCACCAGCTAATATCTAACATTTTCTGCAAATTTTGTATGGTCACCAGGTTAGTTTATAAGACATATTTTGATGATAACGTATGTTGGCAACGGCTGCAAATTAAGTCGATAAAAATGATGGGATTGAACCAAAAATAGTAAAGGTGCAATCTATAAAGACAAAAAAAATGCTATGTGTAGCAGCTAATCAAAACTACAGAATCCTCTGTGGGTTTGTCACTCCAACTAATAGCTATCACATTACATCGAATTTATTGCTTGTATAAAATATTAATTACGGCAGCTTTGAACATAGTTTAAAACACGTTTTACATGACAAATAATTAGCATCGGTCTGAGATGCTATTAAAGCATTTGTATATGGCTACATGGTATTACATTTGACACTTTAATTGCTTTAACAGCGTAACATACGGCTCCAGCGACTAGAAGCTTTTCCTATATCTCCCCCAACCTCTACTCTAAACATTGACAACTGGTCTGACAGGAAGAATGTTTCACGGCTCCTGTGCATCCATCTTACCATCGTAAGGCCCGCTGATACTGCACTAACCTTCTGTTGTCGGTCTCTAATGGCAACTGGCCCCACATTAGCTTAGCCGTATAGGCTACTGACGTGCTATCAACCTTTAGGCAACAGATGCAGGATGTCTTTACAGAGGGCCTTTGTGGCTGAGGTGAGTTGTTATGACTCACTTTAGGGGGGTGTGTGTGTGTGTGTGTGTGTGTGAGCCTTACATGCTGTTATGTGTCTTTCAAGGGTCAGTTACCCCAAGATGTTCTAGTTATTTTTATCCAGCCATGTAAGTAATTTGGTTTTATTTATGCGCTATTTTATTAACGCTGATTACATTGTTTTCTGTTGATTACGCATTAGATAACTACTTTACCAATGCAGCAATGCACTTTCATTATGTCAGGATGACGCAGTGGACAATATATCCTGATTTGTAGGCCTATACTCGAAACAAAGGATCATATGAATCCCATAATGCCACTTTATAGCCATTTTCATTAAACCCTACTTGTTTGGTCAACATGTTGCTACAGCTTTGACAGTACAACCATTTTCATATGGAGTTCTCATCAAGTAAACTGCTTTCCATGAGTGAAATTGGTGGAGTGTCCCTTTTTTAAATACTAAAAACTACAAGCACTACATTCACATCATTGTTTTGCTGTGAAAGCAGAAATCTCAGAAACAGGCATCTCAAAGGCTGGAATGCATAAAAACCACAGCAATCTGCATTCCTGCATATTTAAATGTTATTTTATCATTTGTGTAGCTCCTTTCAAACTAACTGTAACCATATCACATCTGGTAACCTACATTGTACTTGTCATGTTAATATAATAGTAAAATTCAGGGTAATGAAGCTGTTTGTGCAAACAAGTAGAAGGCTGCACACGTCCTGCACTCCCCTTCTGCATGATCAAAGATTGCATGAGCACTTACAAGCAAAACATCATGTGCGAGAAGAAGAACGGGTTCCAGTTGCAGAAATAACTCATTTGTCGGCGCCTTTTAATTCAAAGCCATCCTTTTTCCAAATGTGCTGTCATAGCTGCGGCGCATGGCAGTGTTCTCGCATGCATGGCAATGCTAAGTAAGCGTGTAAGTATTCCAAATGTCAGCCCGGCTCATCGTTGTTATTAATGAGCTTCAGGCGGCAGGAGTGGATCATTTTCCATGGAAATTCAATGCATTTTAAATAGCAGTGGATCAACATTCCAGGCCAGGATTTACATAAGGTAATTGCAGGATGCTGAAAGTACCTTGTTGCTGGCAATGGATTTTTTTTCCACCCTTACCTTCAGTAATACAATCAAATCCATTAAGTAGGCAATAAATACAAGGCAAGACTGTATGAGCGCTCCATGACAGATAATGGCCCCTCTCCAGAATACCTATTTATTTACCCTTGGACAGTTACAGCTGCTGTTTTAGCAGACACACCGACAGTCTGAGTGGGCATCCCTTTCTTCTTCACCTGCTAAAGAACATTTGACAGCCTCGGTCCTATGTGGTATTGCTTCCTGCTGTTATTGAGTATTAAAACAGGTTGGCTGTTAGCAAAG